CTTGTGATGAACACTAGATGATGTATGAATCACTATATTGTACATCTGAAACTAATATTATACTGTAAGTTAACTAACTGGAATTTAAAAACTTTTAGGTATCATAAGGAAAATACATATATGTACTGTACTGCATTTATCAAAAAAATCTGCATAAAATTATACCCATGTTTAAGAAATTAGGGAGATAACAAATGATCTAATATTGCACCTCAAAGAACTAGAACAAATTAAGCCCAAACATAGCTGAAGTAAGGAAATAATAAAGGTAAGAATGAAAATAGATGAAATAGAGACCAGAAAAACAATAGAAGAAATCTACAGTTTTTTCCAAAACATAAACAAAATTGACAAACCTTTAGCAAGACTAATTAAGAAAAAAAAGATTAATAAATAAAATCAGAAATGAAAGAGGAGTAATTTAATTACAACTGACAGTACAGAAATCCATAGGATCATAAGAGACTACTATGAACAATCATAAGCCAACAAATTAGATAACTAGAAGAAATGAATAAGTTCCTAGAATTATACAACCTATCAAGACTGAAGCAGGAAGAGACAGAAGATCTGAGAGACCAATAACAAGTAAGGATATTAAAACAGTAATCAAAAACCTCCCAACACAGAAAACTGCACAACCAGATGGTTTAAGTGGTGAATTATATAAAACATTTAAAGAAAAACTAATGCCAATCATTCTCAAAAATTTAAGAAGGAAGGAATATTTCCCAACTCATTGTAGGTGTCTAGTATTACCTGATTCCAAATGCCAGATATGGACAGTACAAGAAAACTACAGACTAATTTTCCTGATGAATATAGATGCAAAAACTGACAACAAAATATTAGCAAACCAAATTCAAGAACTCATTAAAAGGATCAGACACCGTGACCAAGTGCAATTTATCCCTGGGATGCAGGGATAGTTCATCATACATAAATCAATTATTGTGATATATCACAATTCGTTTAATAGAATGAAAAATAAAAATAATATGATCACCTTAATAGATGCAGAAAAAGCATTTGGCAAAATACAACGTCCTTTTATGATAAAAACCTTCAACAGCTTAGGCATAGAAGCTTAGGTATAGAAGGCACATTAAGTTACATATGACAAACCCATAGCTAACATTATACTCAATGAAGAAAAATGTAAAGCTTTTCCTCTAAGATCAGGAACAATACAAGTGTACCAATATTCAATACAGTACTGGAAGTCCTAGCTAGAGCAATCAGGCAAGAAGAAGAAATAAAAGGCATCCAAATAGGAAAGAATTAAAATTTTCATTATTTGCAGATGGTAAGATTTTGTACAGTTGACCTTTGAACATGGCTTGAACTGCATGGGTCCACTTATATGCAGATTTTTTTTAATAAATGCAGTGACATAAATGTTATTTTCTCTTCCTTATGATTTTCCTAACATTTTCTTTTCTCTAGCTTGCTTTATTGTAAGAATATAGTATATAATATATATAACATATAAAACATGTATTAATTGGCTATTTATGTTATTGGTAAGGCTTCTGGTCAACAGTAGGCCATTAATAGTTAAGTTTTGGGAGTCAAAAGTTATACACAGATTTTTGACTGCACAGGGGTTTGGTGCCCCACCCCTTCATTATTCAAGGGTCAATTGTATATTGAAAATCCCCAAAACTAAAAACTGTGGAATATGATCAATGAATTTAATAAGGCTGCAGGATATAAGATCAATACACAGAAGTCAGCTGTAGTTCTGTATGCTAATAGTGAAATACTGAAAAAGAAATAAAGTAAACTATCCTATTTACAATGCATTGAAAATCATAAAACAGCTAGGAGAAGATTTAACAGAGGAAGTAAAAATATGTACAATTAAAACTACAAAGAACAAGAAGTTCTTGAAAGAAATTGAAGAAGATACAAACAAATGGAAGGAAATACATGTTTATGAATCAGAAGAGTCAATATTGTTTAAATGTCCATGCTATCCAGAACTATCTATAGATTCAATGCAATATTTATCAAAATTCCAATGTAATTTTTCATAGAAATAGATACAACAATTTGTATGGAACAACAAAAAACTCCAATAGCAAAGCAATCCTGAGAAAGAAGAGGCATCACAATTCCTGATTCAAACTATATTACAAAACTATAGTAAATAAAACAGTATGATCTGGCATAAAAATATACATAGGCCAATGGATTAGAAAATGCAGAATTAAACCTCTGCATATATGGTCCTCTAATATTTGACAAGGGAGACAAGAACATCCAATGGGGAAATGATTGTCTCTTCAACAAATGGTGCTAGGAAAACCAGATAACCACATGCAAACAAAATGAAATCATACCCCTAACTTACACATCTCACAAAAATTAACTCAAAATGGATCAAAGATTTAAACATAAGATCTGATACTATAAAACTCCTAAAAGAAAACAGGAAAATATGAGCTCCTCAGCATTGGTCTGGCAATGATTTTTTTGGGTTTGACATCAACAGCAGAAGCAACAGAAGAAAAAATCAGTAAGTGGGACATCAAACTTAAAAGCTTCTACACTGCAAAAGAAGCAATTAACGTGAGTGACATCACCAAGATGGCGACATAGGTCATTCTTGACTTTGCTCTCCCTCATAAGAAGGACAAATAATTATTCACAGACAGACACCAGTGAGAAAATCCTAAAACATGGGGATGAGGCTAAAGCATTACAGAGACCAAGACAGACCACATTAGAAGAATAAGAGAAGGGGTTACACACTAACCACAATGCCCCTCCCTCAGGCCAGTGCAACATCACACTGAGAGGTCTCTTCTAAGCCTATCATTCCTCCTTTGGGGAAAAAAAAAAAAAAAGAACCCAGGGTAGATATCGAGCTCACTAGCATTGTGAGTCACTTATTAGGAATCCCCAGTGCAATCTCATGTCATGAGGATTTCAAGGGAATATGCAGGGTTTGACCACTGGGAATCTGATTGTGATGAGGAAGTGAAGAGGGACTTGTAGCAACCAGCTCTCAGATCTAGGCAGACTGATTTCCTACGTCAGTGCCCAAGTTGTAGGCCCAACTAGCAGTTTTGCTAATCTGCACAGCCCAGAAATACTCAAACAGAGAGTCCAACAGGTAGATCTGATAGTTTGCAGAGCAAAGCAAGTGGTCCTATTCAGCCAGGGAACTTGCAGAATGGGTTAGCATGAGTCAAGATCACAAAGAGCCTTTCTGGCCATGGAGCTGGTTCCCCCTGTGCCTGTGCAGGGAAATTAATTTGTCGCCCTGCCCACTGCTGACTATAGCCTTAAGTCCAACCAACCAGGGAACCTAACCATACCACATGGAAAGCCATGTAGCTCATCCAACAGCCCTGCTTATAGTGGCACTCGAACAGAGAGTACACCCCATGGCTTTTCCTGTCTACAGAGCAAAGCCAGTGGTCCTGTCTCACCAGTGAATTCAGTGCCGTCTTGGCTTATTTAGGTCCCCAAACAAAATACAGTAAGAGAGGAAATGAAGGGGAAATGGTTTAAGGCATACAGAAAACAAATATAAACTTGACAAGTTCTCCCTTAATAGTAATTAATGAATTAAACTATCCAATCAAAAGACAGGTATCAGCAGAATAGGTTTAAAAAAAAACCAACTGCATAATCTCCTAGATGCTGTGTATAAGGGGTTCATTTTACATGCAAAGACAAATAGACTGAAAGTGAAAGGATGGAACTCTATGTAAATAGTAACCAAGAGAGTGGAAGTGGTGTGATGATCAATTTTATGTGTTGACTTGGCTAAGAAATGCCCAGATACCTGGTAAAACATTATTTCTGAGGATGTCTGTGAAGGCATCTTCAGAAGAGATTAGCATTTGAGTCAATAGCCTGAGATCACCCTCATCAATGTGGGTGCACATCCTCCAAGATACTGAGGGCCTAAGTAGAACAAAAAGATGGAGAAAAGGTGAATTTTCTTTCACAATTTGAACTGAGACATCGATCTTCTCCTGCCCTTGGACATTGGCACTCCTGGTTCTAGGGAGTCTGGCTCAGACTGGGACTTACACCATCTACAGCCTCCCAATTCTGAGGCCTTTGGGCTCAAACTGAATTACACCCCCAGTGTTCCTGGTTCTCCAGCTTGCAGACAGTGAATCATGGGACTCCTTGGCCTTCATAACTGCATGTGCCAATTATTACAATAAATCTCCTTTTATATATCTATATCAATATTGATATCTATATCTATATATATCCTATTTGTTCTAGTTCTCTGGAGAACCCTAATATAGGTGGCTTTATTAATATCAAACAAGACAGACTTTAAGTCAAAAACTGTTGCAAGAGACAAAGAATCACATTATATATAGACAAAAGGGTCATTCATCAAGAATATATAACTATGAACATATGCACACACAAAAAAGAACCCCAAAATATATGAAGCAAACAAGCAGATAAAAGATCCACAAATAAATATAGGACTTGAACAACATTATACACCAATTGGACATGACAAATGGCATTTATGAAACCCACAGCTAAATTCAACTCAATGGTGAAAGAATGAAACATTTCTCCATAAGAACAGGAACAAGACAAAGATGTCTGTTTTTACCAGTACTATTCAACATTGTACTAGGAGTTTGAGCAAGAGCAGTTAGAAAATAAAAAGAAATAAAAGGCATCTAAATTGGAAAAGGAGTAAAACTATCTTTATTCACAGATGACATGATCATATATTTAGAAAATCCCAAAGATTCCATACAGAAATACTAAAGTTAAATTCAGCAAAGTTTCAGGATTCAAGGTCAGCATACAAAATCAGTTGTATTTCTAAACAGCAGCAATGAGTAACTTGAAAATGAAATTTTAAAAAAAAATTCCATCACAATATGTCAGAAAGAATAAAGTACTTAGGAATAATATTGTCCAAGAATTATACATTGAAAACTATCAAATATTGCTATAATAAACTAAATAAGACCTAAATAAAATGGAAAGACCTCCTGGGTTCATGAATTGGGGGACTTAATACTATTAAGATGACAGTACTTCCCAAGGTGATCTACAGATTCAGTGCAGTCTCTATGAAAATCCCAAAAGCCTATTTGAAAAAATGAAAAAAATTTGATCCTAAAATTCATAATTAGTTGCAGGAGGTCTAAAATAGCCAAAGTGGTATTGAAAAAGACAAAATTTAAGAATTCACACTTCCCCATTTCCAAACTTACTACAAAGCTAAAGTAAATCAATGCAGTGTGATATTGACATGTGGATAAACATATACACGAGTGGAATACAATTAAGAGCACAGAAATAAACACATACATGGGGTTGACTGGTTTTTGACTAGGGTGCCAATACAATTCAGTGGAAAAAGAAGAGCCTCTTCAACAAACAATGCAGGGATAAGTCAATTTCCAGAGGCAAAAAAAAATTAAGTTGTATGTATCACTACTTCATACCATATACAAAAATTAACTCAAAATGTACCAATCACTTAAATATAAGAGCTAAAACCATAAAGCTTTTAGAAGAAAGCATAAGGATAAATCTCTGTTATCTGAGATTTGGCAATTGGTTCTCAGATATTGACGCCAAAAGCATAGCAACAAAATGAGAAACAGATAAAATGAGCTTCATAAAATTATTTTTTTGCATCAAAGGACATTTTCAAGAAAGTGAAAAGATAACCTACCCAATGAGAGGAAATATTTGTAAACCATATATCTGACAAAAGGTTTAATATCCAGAATATATAAAGAACCTATACAACTCAGCAACAAAAAGACAAACAACCCAATTATAAATGGTGAAGGAGTTGAATAGATGTTTTTTTCCAAAGAAGATATACAAATGAGCAGTAAGCACATAAAAAAATGCTTAACATCTTTAGTAATTAGGGAAATGCAAATCAAAATCACAATGAGATACATTTCATACCTACTAGAATTATTACAATTAAAAGAGCAAAGAAAACAAGTGTTGGCAAGAATGTGTATCCTTCTATATTGCTGGTGGAAGTATAAAATGGTGCAGCCACTGTGAAAAACAGTTGCACAGTTACTCAAAAAGCTAAAATTAGAATTATCATATGATCCAGCAATTACACTCCTACCCAAAATAAATGAAAACAGATTTAAAACAGTTACCCATACACCATGTTCATTGTAGCATTATTCACAATAGCCAAAAGACAGAAACAACACAAATGTGCATCAGCAGGTAAATGGATAAACAAAATGTGATACACACACACACATGCAACGGAATCTTATTCAGCCATCAGACAAGGAAGGAAGTTCTGACACATCATGGATGAAACTTAAAAACGTTATGCTAAGTGAAATAGGACAGCTACAAAAGGACAATGTTGTATAATTTCACTCATATGAAATATAATAGGCACGTTCAGAGAGATAGAAGTAAATTAGATGTTACCAGGGGCTGGATAGGGGCAGGAATGGGAGTTATTGCTTAATTAAGAATTTCTTTTTTGGGTGATGAAAAGTTGTGGAAATAGAGGTAGTGATGGTTGCACAACATTGTGAATGTCATTCATGCCATGCAACTGTACACTTAAATGATGATTAAAATGGCAAATTTCATGTTATATATATTTTACCACAAAAAAATTTTAGTAGATTGATTAAACTCAGGCCAACTGCTGGTTAAAATTTGTAATAAACTTTGAATAAAAGAAAACATCCTGATCATAATAAGGAATATTTATCTCAGATAACCTGGTAACATAGGTTATAACAGCTATAAGCAGAGGAACTCTCAACTCAAAGCACAATAGAAGAGTAATTCTCCTGCACTCTACATCACAACCATTTAATTTTATTTTGAAAGTTCAAGCCAATGTTGTAAGATATGGGTTGATTATAAAAGTTATATATGTTGGAAGGAAAGAACAAATTTATCAGTTTTAATATAGATATCTAATATATATATATAATACATATATATATATATATTTTAAGAGAGAGAGGGAACACGTTCAAGTTGGGGGTGGGGGCAGGAGGAGAATCTTAATCAGGCTCCACCCCCCCCCCCCCAGCACAGAGCCCCATGATGTGGGGCTCGATCCCAGGATCCTGAGATCACGACCAGAGCTAAAATCAAGAGTCAGTCACTTAACCAACTGAGCCACCCAGGCACCCTGTTTTAAAATATATAAGATACCTAAAGAATCTAGCTAAAATATGAATTATTTATACCACAAATCATCTTTTTCCTGCTGTACCCTGATGAGTTTTTGGCATGATATGTTAAGAATTCATAATGCCAAAAACTGTTATTTGGTTGAGGCAAAGCTACCACTGTCCTTTTACACAGATCTTAGTTGAAACAAACTCTGGGTAAAGTTAAGTCACCAAATTAATTTTTACATACTGGTCAATAGATTTCCATATTATGTGATGACTGTCCAAGGAGTTATTTCCATATTTAATAATGTTCTCTCTTCATTTATTTATAATTATACCATGGGAAGACACAATCATTCACATTTTTACCTTACAAAACAGAAAATATTTTTACCTTGAAATTCTCTTGCTTCTTGGTAAGTTTGTTTTTCAGTCTTACTTTGTAATTTCTCTTCTCCAACAGCCTTAATGACAAAAATTATAATAAGTAATTTCAAATTATGTGTCTTAGAACTCTAATTACTTTCTCTCAGAGCAAGAATTTTTATTCATTATCTACAATGTCATTGCATAAATGTTTTATTTTTATATCCCGAATGCATCAAATAAAAACATGAGAACAATTAATGGATCTGAAAGGCATTTGGGAACACTCATGTGGAGGGAACCCAAGCTATATTGTGATTCTCCTCATAAATAATTCCAAATAAATCATGTTAATAATGATTATGATTCTACTTTAGACTTACATTTTAGTCTGATTCAATCTCTAGACCAACTCAAATGACTCATGAAATTCTTTTTAAGGTCACATTAATAAATTCTATGATAAAAGTGTATTGTAGATATATGTCAAATATATATAGCCTTTTTATCATTTCTTTTTTCCCCAGCATTTAATAATTTTCTAGGCCTTGTTTAAGGTATATAAAGTCATTTCAAAAGAACTGTGTTTTCACAATTACCTTACTATATAAAAATATTTTTTCTAGATGAACCTGAAATGAACATTTCTCTATCTCACCTAGGAATTATATATATTTTATCATTAAAACTGTAATCTAAGCCACAACTTCTTTGTCGATACAGCTTAGAATTTTTTATGTTAAAATATCACTCTGATTCTCAAATATACCTTAAACATCCTAAATATAAAACAGATTATATTAAAAGGCAAACTTTTTATTCCTTTTAAATAAGAAAATATTAATGAGTTTTAATTAACATTTACTTAAAATATTAAGGGAATCTAGCATTTCAAAGTAAACAGCTTTCAAATTATTGTACTATATCTTACCTTTGAGATGTCACTATCCATTGGCTTTCTTCTGGTAAGAACAGGATATGAAATGAGTGACGCTGTTGCTGTTCCATCCCCTTGAAGTGATGTCTTGACAGACAGTAAGTCTTCAATCTCTTCGTTTGATAATAGTCTTGTTAAGGATTTATCCTGGGTCTTTAATGGAAGTATATGGAGTAGGTCTTTATCAGCTGAAACTCCTTTTGAACTCCCTAAAAAAGCTGATCCATCTTGAGACTTTAGGATCTGTGAAAGATCTGAACTAGCAGAGCTAGCTCTTTTCTTCTCTGAGCTTTAGAATTACAAAACATCTGGTATTAGATGTGAAGAAAATGTTTTATTTGTAATTGAAGAATCATTTTCATAATCTATAATAATATTAAATAAGCAACCATAATTATTCATTCATTAATGGTAATACAAATACGAAGTTGCTGCTAGATAACAAGTCAGAGATAATATATCTTTTGGGATTTAAAATAGATATACAGAATTAAGTAACATTTAAAATACTTAACATAAGAGCCATTCAAGATCATAACAGGCACAGAACAAAAAATATTTGGTCAGGCAAAGTAGAGCACAAGATGTTTTAGAGGATGCCCTTTAGTCACATTTATTCCAAAGTTATTTTTCCACAATTTCATCTCAGAATGAATATATAAAAGATCACTGTCTTCCACAAGAGTCAATTTCCAAGCTCTGAGTTAGTTTTCTTCAAGGTAGTAACTATTTATTCTTCACCTGTTGTCAGGATCAGCTTATTAGGGTTCCAGAACTAGTAACCATATATCATGGTTTGTCCACACAGTCTCAGTGTATGCTTGTCCCAGCATTCCTCCAGTTTAGATGATAATTTAAATGGTCCAACTACAAACTACCTATGTTTTATAGAATTTAACATAGCTCTTCTAGCCCTATCAAATGAAACAGATTTTGATGGTTCTTTGTTTTATACAGCTATTACTCCAGTTAGTATAATTTGCCTAAGGTTTATTGCAGTGCTGAAAATAATTTAAATTTTGGTCACACAGATGCAAAATTTTACAACGTAACTATTGTCACCGATCCTAATCTGTTACTTTAGGATGAATTTCAAACACCTGATTTTGGATTATAAAAAAGAGGGATATGGAGGACAATTCTGAGAACGAAAGTGTAAGATAATTGATGGCTAAAAAGACAATTTATGACAAACAGACTTTTGTAGTAGTGTTATAAAATGGATTCCAATATTAAAGAGAATAGGTGGCTGGCTATCCTAAATTAAGGCTATCTCAACCTCAAACATGATTTATTAGTTTTATCAGGTATTTGAATTAAAAAAAAAAACTAGTTATAAAATAGTCTAACACTCTTCTGTAAACCATTTTTGAAGACATATCCTAGAGGACTGTTGTCATTTTTTGGCCACTGAAGCGTAACAATTGTTGAAGTACATAATATAAATTGATGCTTTTTTACAAACATACCTGCAGCCATAAACAAATCACCACTCCTGTTGCTAATATTACCACACAGCTATAAGTAGAAAGCAAAATACTTTTAAAGATTTTGAAATGTTTGGGCGCCTGGGTGGCTCAGTCGTTGGGTGTCTGCCTTTGGCTCAGGTCATGATCCCGGGGTCCCGGGATCGAGTCCCACATCGGGCTCCCTGCTCGGCAGGAAGCCTGCTTCTCCTTCTCCCACTCCCCCTGCTTGTGTTCCTGCAATCGCTATCTCTCTCTGTCAAATAAATAAAATCTTTAAAAAAAAATAAAAAAAAGTAAAGATTTTGAAATGTTTATTAGGGGATATCATTAATCACTTGATTCTACACAGGCAAATGATCCTATTATAACAAGAGAGAAAATGTGTGGCAATATCAAGAACAAGGCCTTAAATACAATACAGAGAATATAATACAAAGTTTATTTATAACCATATTCCCACATGCAAGCTTTTCCCACTTATATTGGTTCCCACAACCATAAAGGACTGTCATTGCATAACACCATAATACTTCTGCAGCGGGACAAGAATGAAAAATACTAGAAAGGTATGCAAGCAGTACTGTTCAAGCTCACATCAGCCAAACAGATATCTCTAAGAAGTGGAAACAGGCATACTTTCAAGGCCTGATGTTTGTTTGAGTGATAAAAGAAAAGAAGAGGTAGAGGAGGAAAAGGAGGAGGAAGAGGGAAGGAGGAGGAAGAGGAGAAGAAAGGAGGAAGAGGATAGAAAGTCTATGAAAGTCAGCCTATAGTCACACAGAAAATAATGATTTGCCCAATCCCCGATCTTTGGTAAATTATCAAAACAACCTAAATATATTTTATAAGTCTTGCTAAATTTGCATCATTTGTCCTCCACTTCTGATTAAGATTCTTTCTAGTCATCACTGTGTTAAAACACAGAGTATAATAGTATCCTTATGAGCATGTATATTAACAGCTTTGATAATAAGGATGTTGATAGCATTCTACATAACAGTCTTCAACATCACTGATGTGATATAAAGACATAATATATAGAGATATATAAAGCGGGGAGGAGCAAGATGGTGGAGGAGTAGGAGACCTAAATTTCATCTGGTCCCAGGACTTCAGCTAGATAGGGATCAAACCATTCTGAACACCTACGAACTCAACAGGAGATTGAAGAAAAGAATAGCAGCAACTCTCTGAACAGAAAAGCGACCACTTTCTGGAAGGTAGGACATGCAGAGAAGTGAATCTGAGGAGATATTCGGGAGGATAGATGGCGGGGGAGGGAGCCTCTGTTGGCCGCTTCTGGCAAGTGATAGAGAGCAGAGTGCAAAATGGGAACTTTTAGAAGTCTGCTCTGCTGAGGGACGTCGCTCCAATGGCTAAGCTGGGGGTGGAACCCTCACTGGGACAGTGTGGTCTCGGGACCCTCAGGGTCACAGGAAGACCGGGAGTACCTGAGTGCAGCAGAGCTCCCAGATATTGGAGCAGGGAAGCCGGCTGCTGAGATGGAGCCGAGGAGCAGGCTCTCAGCTGGGGTTGCCATAACCTGTGATCCGCGGCACAGTCAGGCCACTGCTCTTCCAGCAGGGACCCAACAAGGGGCAGATCTGGGGAGACTCCCCTTCCTCCCCTGGGAGAAGTGGCGCAGGAGTGCACCACAGGAATCTGCTGGGTTTGGAGACTCCAAACTGGGTCATGTGCCAGAGATAGAAATGCTTGGTCACAGGCTGGGTGAGCAGGGAGTGCAGCAGAGACTGGGGAGATGGGAGCGACTGACTGCTTTTCTCTGGGGGCTCACTGAAGAGTGGGGCCCCGAGTTCTCAGCTCCTCTGGGGTGGAAATTGGGAGGCCACCATTTTCACACTCATCCTCCAAAGCTATACAGAAAGCTTGCAGGGAACAAAAGCTCCTGAGAGCAAATCTGAGGAGATTACTTAGCCTGACCTGACAAGGGTAAGGCAATTCCACCTCCAGCAAAGACATCTGGGAACCACAGCAACAGGCTCCTCCCCCAGAAGACAAGCAAGAACAGCCAGCCAAGAACAAGTTTACTGATCAATGAGAATGGCAAAACGCCAGCACAAGGGGAATACAGCACATAGAATTCATGGCTTTTTTCCCCAATTCTTTAGTATTTCAAAGTTAATTTTTAAATTTTTTTTTCTTTTTCTTTTTTTTTGAATTTTTCTCTTTCCCTTTTTCAACCAACATCTTATCAAACCCTTTTTTAAAAATCTTTTTTATTTTTCATTTTTAGAGTCATATTCTATCCCTTCATAGTAGTTAACCTTATTTTTGGTATATATGTAAGTTGTTCTCCCTTTAAAATTTTGGGATACAGTTTCTTATAACAGACCAAAATATACCCTAAATCTCTAGTGTATGGCTTTGTTCTAGTCTCCTGCCTGATCACATTCTCTCCCTTTTTTTTTTAAATCCCCTTCTTTGTTTTTTCAACCAATTTCTTATCAATTCCTTTTATAAAATCTTTTATAATTTTCATCTTTACAGTCATATTCCATCCCTTCATCGTATTACCCTTATTTTTGTACATATGTAAGTTTTTCTTTCTTTAAAATTTTGGGAGGCACTTTCTTCTAACAGAACAAAATATGCCCAAAATCTAGTGTGAGGCACTGATCTATGCACCAGCCTGATCATATTCTTTTTTTTTTTTTTTAATCTTTTTCTTTTCTTTTTCTTTTTTCTTTCTTTCCCTTTCTTTCCCCTGGTTTCAGGTCTCTTCAGATTTGTTTAGTGTATATTTTTCTTGGGTTGTTGCTACCCTTTTAGCATTTTGTTGTCTCATTCATCTATTATCCTCTGGACAAATTGACAAGATGGAAAAAAATCACCTCAACAAAAAGAACAAGAGGCAGTACCAACTGCCAGGGAACTAATCAATACGGACATTAGTAAGATGTCAGAACTAGAGTTCAGAATGACGATTTTAAAGATATTAGCTGGGCTTGAAAAAAGCATAAACGATATTAGAGAAACCCTCTCTGGAGAAATAAAAGAACTAAAATCTAACCAAGTCGAAATCAAAAAGGCTATTAATGAGGTGCAATCAAAAATGGAGGCTCTAACTGCTAGGATAAATGAGGCAGAAGAGAGAATCAGTGATATAGAAGACCAAATGATGGAGAATAAAGAAGCTGAGAAAAAGAGAGATAAACAACTACTGGATCATGAGGGCAGAATTCGAGAGATAAGTGATACTATAAGGTGAAATAATATTAGAATAATTGGGATCCCAGAAGAAGAAGAAAGAGAGAGTGGGGCAGAAGGTATATTGGAGCAAATTATAGCAGAGAACTTCCCTAATTTGGGGAAGGAAACAGGCATCAAAATCCAGGAGGCACAGAGAACCCCTCTCAAAATCAATAAAAATGGGTCAACACCCCAACATCTAATAGTAAAACTTACGAGTCTCAGAGACAAAGAGAAAATCCTGAAAGCACCTCAGGACAAGAGGTCTGTAACCTACAATGGTAGAAACATTAGATTGGCAACAGACCTACCCACAGAGACCTGGCAGGCCAGAAAGGACCAGCATGATATATTCGGAGCACTAAACGAGAAAAATATGTAGCCAAGAATACTATATCCAGCTAGGCTGTCATTGAAAATAGAAGGAGAGATAAAAAGCTTCCAGGACAAACAAAAACTAAAGGAATTTGTAAA